TATATATATATATATATATATATATATATATATATTTATATATACGAAAGTCGCATATGATGCAATCCCACTTGAGCCTGGTTTCTTCTAACAGCCACTCAGAGGCACATGAATGCGTTTCAGAATGCTGTCTAACAGACAACTGGTCGTTGGACCAGCATTTGTTACTTGACAGGAACATGCATATGAGTAAACATAGAAGTCGGTGACGGAGCTTGTTCTTCAAGTGAGCAGTGACAGTGGGACTGAAATTGAGAGTCAACCACAGATTAGCGACAGGCATGCTATTCATGTATCAACATAATGTCGAAGAATTACGGTAACTGGTTTAATGATCATCATCCTTGAATGGACGTTTTGTGTAGAAAACAAACCTTCTCTCAAGTGAAGAACGCCTAGCTTTCTGTTCCATAAGTTGCACAATCTTCAGTAGTCATTCTGCGATAAGAGACGCTTTTATCATTTTTGTTCCCCCGCAAACACTTGTACATGCCTGTTTGTTGCCTTCCCAGAGAAACACATAATTAGGTTATAATTCTGTAGCAATCGACTGAATATCCTGTCCTGTCTTCACATGTTTTTGCGGACTATGCGGGCAACTGCCCGGTTGTTGTTCTTCTGAACACTAACATGGAGAGAACGTAAACATTGGATTTATTTCGTAGCAAACTTGGTACTTTTACGAACCAAACTGAAAATGTGGGACTAACCTGTTGTGCCACTTGTTACATCAGCAAGCTCCAAGATGTCTAAATAGCATTCTTGTATTGCTCGGGCCTATAGTTGCCTAAAATTGGGTTCACACTCCTCATTATGTCCCTGAGAAGTCCGATGGGTACATATTCATGCCCTCTGTGGTGTGTTTTCAGGGGGTAAGGCTTGGAAATATTGTTAACTAACTGATTAATTCACGCTAAAAATATTTCCGAACAAACAAACAAACTCATATCTGTTAGTTACTAGCTTTTAACTCACTGCTCGTTCGATGAACCCGACTAGTCGGCAATATGCAATAACAACTTCGAATTTTAAAAAAATTCTGTAATTGGCACAGTAAAATTCCATATTAGTGTGGTTAAAATTTACGGTACCGTTTTTGCAAAGCAATTTAGCTAGATGGACTGCTACTTTTTCTCGCACCTTGATAGTACGACAATATCCACTGCTTCTTAAATTCCGTTAATTAAAAACAATACGTTGCAATGAGGAAGACATATCTAAGCACTATATCAAACAAAATAGCAGGGGCGAGATAAAGACGACGTCATTTGCAAGCTTCACTAAAAATGAGTCCAGCATACGAAGTTTAGCCAGGCGGCTCGTCTAGAAAATGACGTCAAAAAACGCTTGGAATGGCAGGGTCATTTGTTGTGTGGCTTATGGCCGTGTTCAAGAAGAATCACGTTGCCATCAGTCAGAAAAGCTTCATTGTTGCTCAGCCTATTGTACACTTAGCTTATCATGTCTTGTCCTCCTCAGATTTTTCACAAACAATAGTCTGGGATTAGAAGTAACATCTTTATAATTAGAGGTTTGATATGCACAGCAAATCTTTGGAAAATTTTAAGTTCCAATTTCTGGTCCAGCGAATGCTCCTCACCTGTGTGCAATCTTTTTTGTGCATTCCGCTAGCAGCCGTCATACTACAAAGACGCTTTAAGTCTCAAAGTAATGGTGGTGAGGTTTTGTAACCACATACTGAGAATGCTCTTACATTTGCTTCCTATAAACAGCCCTCCGGGTCCCACGCACTTATTTTTGAAGCGACAGATGGCGCAAAATTAAGGATTTTTTTCAAACCCTATGAAGACCTGCGACGACCTGGTCTGCCAAGATATGATCAAGGCGTGCGAAGTAATCAGGTGGTCTTTAGCCATTCGGCTTAAAGTTTAAGGGAGGCTCAAAAGGAGTAGCTTGCTCAGACGGAAGATCACCACATAACACACACTTCGTCCGGATAATCCAGGTGCATTAATCATTCTCAGGTTTTTTGTTCCCGGGACTGTGCACCCTGAGTTTGTACGAGTGGAACCATTCAAAAATAGTGATTCGAAGACCTTTAGAGGAACACTGTTTTGGAAGAATCATTTGGATGGGCCATTCCTAAATCTACCAATGAGTTTTCGGATAGCAGATATGAAGTATAGTGACAAACTTTAGGGACAATGTAAAAGATATTCTTCATAACGATTTAGGCAAAAAAGGGGGGGTTATTTTTGAAGTTAATTCTGGCACCGCTCGGGCATTTGAAGTATCGTATAGACAGTCCCCAAAAGATCGATACACTTTTAATGCTGCTGAATGCAAGGTAGATGCCAAAGCTCGGACATTCAAATAACTCGGAGGCCTGTGATACCACCGTGATAGGTGTGAGACATATAGCTCTCCAAATACTTCTACGGGTCTTGCAGTTAAACGATATCAATAGGGTTCTTGATTTCAGTTCCTCTCCCGGTTGTCTGAAGGAGTGTCAAGATGTGTAGACATCTCGGAATGAGTGAATGATAGCAATAAATCCCATTCACGTCCACTTTTATCATTTTTTTCTAAAGTAAGGCATTCAAATAAATTTTGGTTGTATGGCAGCGAAGCATCAGTGTTGAACCCTATTATGATGATTATGATTATTGTGCCACTCCAATTGACGTAAACACGTCGGGCATTTTTTACTATGATGCTAACTGATTTGTTGCAATTTACCTAAACTCTTCTGGGAAATGTTCTTCATGATGATCTAGAAGATTACTTTTTTACATATTTACTCTCCACTATTATCCCGAATTATCCCGAATTTCTCCTAGATCAGGCCTCAGAGTGTGACCTAAAATTTTATGAGCACTCTCTACCGCAAAACCATCCTCCAGGCGGTTCCGTCACGCGACTGGTTGAAAGTAATACCTGAACGACTGTCCACTCGATCTGTGCACGGAGACCAATGGGATACAAATAATATCAGGATGAGAGTGGCTGTTCAGGTTCTGTGCACATGCCCCGGAACTGAACAAACAGAATTTTTAGAGCCCTGGATGGCCTTGAATATTTCATCTCGGCGAGAGCCAAATTTACTTAGGAGGCCAAATTTAGATTAGCGTAAGTTAAGCTTGTAGCTTTCAGATCAAAAAGCTTTTTAGTTTCAGAAGTTAAGTTAATTTCTTGGGTTTGTAGGAGATAAAAGCACGATCCGAATCAACGGAATAACCGGCACCCACGCACTGTACCTCATCATCGGAAGCTGATGGCTACTAAGTTGCTGGGGTACGTTACGTAGCTCAACTATGATCGCTGAGATTTAACGCATTACTGCTGAGGAGAAGTTGATGGCTGGAAGAGTTTGCAACATGTGGTCGTCATAAACATTGCGTTCTGCCCTCACGCTAAATTAACTGTCAAGATGAACATCCGATGAATTAAGGCTCCTCAGCTGTGCGGTAAACTCCTCAGTAGTTGCGACTATGGCTAAACTCTTTAGTAGCAGTCACATGTTTTCGTCAATCAGACTTACTTTGCTAGTAAACAAAGGGAGCTGACGGATGTCACAAGTTGAGAGCTGGCGTGATGTCAGCGTACATTTATTTGTACATTTCATGGCTGATTGTGGGCTGGAATACCGCAACAGTGCTCCACTCTAGACAGGAGAACAAAAAGCTTGACCCCATACTTTACGTGATAGGGTTGAGCTTACAATAGCATATTGACTGTTAAGTAGATAGAACGCCATACCACCTGAACTCCTGATGTGTCAATCAGTAATGAGATAAACATCGGCGGTGTACCCATTAAGGCTCGAGATTTGTATCAAAACTATGCATATCTGCAAATGCCGACACTTTCATCATTTACCCTAAAAGCCATGAATTCGCACTATCGATTATTGACATTCTGCAAGCATCAGTTCAACAGTGCAGCGAATGAGGCGTTGTCAATAATTGCCATTTTTGGATTCTATACCCTTAATTCATATTACACTTTGTCAATGAGGTTCAAGTTTTTTTAACTTTCTCTCTGATTTATTGAGCCAATAATTACTCTCAGAAAATTTGCTTGCCCCAAATGACAACTAGGATGACAGAAGTGTTTTGAAATATTTGTGAGGACCGTCGTGAACACACTCTGTTTACCTGTAACGTATGCGACAGAGAAATTAGAGCTTGATTTTCTTAACCGTGATTACGTGCCTAAACTCCACAATGGGTGTAATGAGCCTCGTTAACCAATTTCGTGTAAAATTTCAAGAAAGTGTTAGTGCACTAACCACAGTGTTTTCAACGCGGAATTCTCATCAGCTTCCGCCGTACCTTCCAACATTTTAAACTCGCTGCAATCAAAGCTCACCCCTAATACCCCCAAAGTACCCGACAGTTTTTTTGTCAGCCCCGTCAACTGAAATCATTCCTTCCTGCTGGTTCATTTCCTCGTATGGTTGCGCACCGTGCCGAAGGATTTGACGATGTTTCATGAGAGCACACTTTCTGTCTCTATGGCAAGGGTGTTATTGTAAGCTGTCCTCCAGATTTAGGACACTGAAAAATTTCGAACTGCCGCAATCCTACTCAAACCACACAGATAATATTGTCTGATGATTTCCTCACAAATTAATTTGTTCTGACGCTGCTCAGTTTAATGATAAGTCTAAAAGCAGAGCAGTCACTGTAGTCCCTTCCCTTGTGTGCTTTATTTTTTGTTCAAAAGGAACGGTTTTACAGAAAAGTCCGTTTTTCGTGCGATTTTCTGGGCGGTACTCAACTACATAGGGTTTGTTGTGTTGAAACTGTGATCTCACCGTTGGTTGATACATTCGCCTCTAGTAAAAGAAAGTTGAATAAAAATGTTCTTTACACTTTTCTCAATAATACTGGTGACTTTTGAAGCGAATTTCTCTCGCGATATTCCTATAAGCGGCTTACCACGTGTGAGCGTTTTACACTGACGGACTTACTCTGACATCTCTTGTCCGTCAGACATTGAACACTCCGAAAAATCTTCAACATGTTTATTTTTCTTCTTGTCTGAGAAAATTAAACGCAAAATAAAGTTAGAATCTAGTCTGAAATAACGTCTTTAGTTGGCTTTTGGCTGTTGTCTGAAAATATTTATCACTCACTCTACCTTAGCTTAAACCGCTCAAGTTAAAGCAGGTATATGAAGGTAGGAAAGCTATTTCTGTGCACGAAGAAAGTTCACACACTCAAATCCTTTCACAATACCATATAATTGTGTTAGCTCCAGCACAACTGCTTTTATTCTCTACCACATGACCATGCCAAATTGTGGGGAACTTTTAGTTCCCCAAGTAGTACCTAAAATGTTTTTCGCAGAAGACTCCATGTTCATTGCCCCCCTTCAGTTTTCATCCGTTCGTAGTAAGGTTCAATCAAATTATGTGATGCACCTTGCGCTCTCCAGCTAAATCACAAACTAACAGAGCATTTCGGCAAAAGTAGGACCACTTTCAAGCATGCTTTCAGCTCTACATAAATTTGTTATTCTGACATTAGCTTGTTATCTCCATAACTATGAGAAAGTTATGATCTACCCTCGTGTTGCCGTTTTTATGTGCTCGCATCCTGCAATCGGGATGTTTTATCTGACTGCTGATTTGAGTACGCATATCACCAAGGGAAGCAGAAAGGAATGGAAACAGTGAATCCAAATTTTTGGGGAGGAAGGAACAGATGGAGTTACTTGTTATGCGTTTATCTATCGTCCTGCCTATCTATTCGCCCATCTACTTACCAACCTACCTATCTGTTTATCTATCTAATCACAGTGAAGTTTTCTCGAAATCGCGAAGTTTGTGATTGTTTGACAGGTAACCACACTTACATTTCGGTGGCGACAATGGTGATTTTTGTGTTAAAACAATGTGAGAAACAATGTAAAAAACATACATTAGCGCAAAGCCAAGTTACGTTAGCACCCATCTAAAAGGAGAGTTTCAGCAAAATCAGGGGGTCTTCTACGATCTCAGAATAGTTCAAACACAGATTTTTGGATAACTTTATTTGAGAGCGTTATCGACACGCGAATCTCATCGTGGAACTCGAAAGTTATTAAAAATATAAAGAGGCTTGGTAACTGCGTTGCCTCCACTTACAGTCTTTCAAATAGTCATAGCCATGTACTCATTATTTTGTCAAAATTCGAGCAACACGGAAACGGGAAGGATGTGGATTTATTGTAAAAAAACTCATTCCCCGTCCAAGAAGCAGCTGTCTTTATGTTCCAAAAATTTCAGCTAAACACAACTGCATGTCAAACTGCGGCGGGACTAAAACAGCAGGATTATGTCCTTTTTGTGAACCTCTATTGACACAAGTATAGCGTACAATATTAAACAAGCGTTAAGTGGGTTGTTCAGCTAGGAAGTGAGAGGAGGCTTGTCAAAAGGATCGGCTACGTGCAGTGTTTTGAAGTTTCCAAATACTTATAAGGATGGTCATGCGGGCCCATCCAGAAATTGCGCACATTCCGGAGGGCTGATTGGACAGTGGCCGCATTCTTTTTGCCGCGTCACGTCATGGCTGTTCCACCCCAAACCTTTTACCAAAAGAGGTTCGGAGTGTTGACTGAGCAGTGGACAACGTGGTCAGCGAACTGAAGTTCCTTATTCTGAGGAATCAGAGAAGTTCACTCTGAAGATCCATGCAGAGACGTTGACCGCTTCGGTATTACGTTTGGAACAGTTTATGCTCGTATGCGCTCGTGAAATAGCAGAACAAAGTCATTTTTGAAACTTTATTGTGCCAGAAGTAGTTCAACCTCCCGGAATCACGAGTCTTCGGAGAGGCCAAACGCCCCTTTGACATCAAGGAGAACTGCCATTTTTTGGGGTAATATGCGCGAAATTCCCCAATCCCTAGAGTGCTGCAAAGAAATAAATAACTCAAACCCAATTCTGGTGCTCTCGGGAGTGATGGGCTAGGAGCCACAATATTGCAGAAGCAAGCAGTTGTGTCAACCTGCAATAAAGCTTATACCCCTGTAACTTCTAGCATCGTTTCCAAAGTCTGTAAGTAAACGGAAGATGATTGATTAGCCTTATTCCATCTTGGTTTCAACAATATCGATGAAGACAAACAAAGCAGTTGGGAGCACACACGACTTAACTGTGTAGTGGAGCTTCAGATCAGAAAATAGAGAAAGGTCTATTCTCACAGACCATAGCTCGGGTTGAGCTTTGTTTTCTCCGAAACTGGTCAGCAAAATGAAGCAAGAAATACTCTTTTGATGATGATGAGGGAGTGTTTCATGTCAGCTAACAAAACGGGCGCCTGTCCTGAATAAGCATACATTGACCAAATATCGATCTTTCTGCCCTTTCGCATACAAATTCGAACACATCTGCAATGGGGACCTCTTTTAATCCTATAGCCACTTTGATAATGCAGAAGCGGGATACAAACGTAGCCCGGAGATATATGAGAAAGTTAACGGTTTTCAACAGAAGCAGTAGCCAGTATGTTATTATCCAAATGACGTAGCAGAAAAATCACGTTTCCGCCAACAGAAAATCAAGTTTGAACCCATTCTCACTGATCTTTTCCAAGAGGATTCTCTCGCTCGAGATACCGTTTTTCCTTCGCAGCGTTGCCTTAAATTAAAAATGAATTAGCAGTTACGTGCAGTAGAATTGGTCTAGAATGCACTCTTGTGTTCCTTATAAGGGATTTCCGTATTTTTGTACACCCTGTCATGCCGATGACGTGTTCGCACAATAAGTTAAGTTGGGTTTGGAATTCTGCCGAATTGGCTTTGTACTCAGAAAATCATTCTACTTTCGGTTGAGCGGAACATTTCGCCTAAATGAACGTTGCTGCTTACAGGGTGTCTCATTGCCATGGTATTCAGTTACCCATCTTTCCATAATGTGGTCTAATACCATAAATATCTGAGCGTTGATGGAATATCGATTTGTACTTATTTTTGGGAAAATAGATAGAGGAAATGATGGAATATCGATTTGTACTTATTTTTGTGAAAATAGGTAGAGGAAAGGAAGATCAAAAAATTATTCTAACGCGACTGGTAGTTCCGAAACGCAGTTCGCTAGTATCCCGTTTGTAGGGAACATAAGTTCACACATCATCTGATAAAAGGAAAGAAATAAAAAGAGAAAACGGATGGACCTGTATCAAACAAACATTGTCAGATAGCTGACGCAAACGGAAGGCTAATAAATAAATTCTTTTTGATCTGCTATTTTGGAAGCAGGCCACACAAACGAGCCTCTGTTTACTGGTTGGCGGTGCTTAGAAATATCGGCCAGAGCGAAGTCACTAACAAAGCGGGATTACTTCAGATTCCGTCAAACCCCATAGTACACCTACCAAATTTATCTGCAAGAAAACAATCAAATCTTCAGGAGGATGAATTGTTTGTTATTTTATACGGTCATATTTCCACGACAACCACTACAAAGTATGAGTAGATTTAAAAGTGCAATAAAAATCTTGCAAACTGAAGTGAAATTCCGGAATACCTAACTGAATTAGAGTCTTGGGCTTCCATGTAGCGGAAAGCTACCTTATGATAGTAAATTTGTGTTGCTTGACTGAACCGTCGCTCATATTGTCCTGAAAGCGGGTTCACTTCTTTTAAGGATGCGTACGTTTTCCGCGTCATGCACTTCAATGAGGCGAAAATGCTTGTGGAATTCCCTCTGATATTTCTGACTGAAAGCTTCTTTGAAAACCTACTGTGATATTTGGCCCGAAGACGAGGGTAGTGACTTTGCTGGTAAGGTAGGAATAATGTTTTAACCTCAATGGGGTGTTTTAAATCAATTTACTTATCCATTTAACCGCCCTGACCGAATCCCGAATGAATTTATTATTTCAGGTTAGTCCCTTTCTAAAGGTCGTGTTTACCTTTGTTATAAGGTGTCAATGGTGACCACCACACGAAGGGCGAGACAGTTCGAGCCTGACTATTCGCACTGACGTTGGTTACGTGACAGAACGTGATGTGCGATATGAATTCAAAATGTCCAGCTAATCACACTACTCATCCAACTAGATGAACGATGAGTATTCGTGAAATTTATATGGAAACTGATTTCTTGATATAGATTGACTTTCTCAGAAAAAGAAATTCCCCATTCACAGCTCTAAAGTGCATCAGGAGGCCATATAACGATGTTTTGTATGTTTTACTGCCCGCACAAATTTACTGTTGTAGGTTTCACTGTTCTACCCAAACTTTTGACAAGTTAACAATATCAAAATAGATTAAATGTTTTCAGTTCAAGCACTCAAGATAACTGATCAACAAATCATCTTATATCATGAAACGTATGCCCCCGCAACTCAGCTATCCGGCATTTTGCAACCTCGTAGGATGTTCAGACAAGGAGGAAAATTGGTCATTCCCTCCGTAATTCAGCCAAATATGCTGTACAAAACCGAAATTTGCATATCATCGTATACACTTATTTTGATGCATCCTATCCTATATCTCCCAGTTCAGTGTGGACTCTAGGAGGGCATTTTCAGAGAGGAAAATTGAAGCCCTCGAAAGGCTCTATGCATGCCACGCGTAGAGAGTTTTTTTAGCAGTAATGGCTTGGGAAGGAAAACCCGATCAGACGAAACGCTAAGTTCAATGTAAAGGTTTTATTGGGAGAGTGGTGTTCGATCACTCCAGCCTGAAAGCCTGTCACATTAGGCGTGTACGGTAATTTTTAATAAAACTTAGAACTCTTGATGTGCTTGTCTCAGTTCTGTTGTGAAGATCAATGACTAGTCAGGCAGAACTTTTCTAACAATCAACCAGTAGTCAGCCGTTTGTCTACAGTGGTCACCAGCTTGTTAGATTTTGAATTCAAATTTAATTTGATAGCAAACACAAACGTAAGTGCCGAGACGGCACCTGGATTGTTAGTAAAAACTCATTGTATATGGATATATATATATACTCAACGTATTTGTGATTTGTCCATCTGTGGCTCACTTTCGTAAAAGGCGTGCGTTTGCTGAAAGGAAAACAGTGATTAGAGACAAGATATGAA